GTCCCTCAAACTTTAGTTTTATTTTTTTATCCAGCAAATATTTAATTCACAAGTGGCTTTAATTAAGTCTAAAAAATATTTTTTTTAATGTATTTTGGAAACAATTTTAAAAAAATGCATAAAACAAAGGGAGAATATAATTTGAATAATTTCGCAGTTTATTTCGATGGTAGGTTATTCCCATTTCAGCGCTAGGAATAAGGAGGAATCCTTTAGGAAATTTATGATAAGGACGAAGTAGTTAGCAGAAGACCATTAGTGAATTTATGTGCTATGCTAGACCTTTGTGATAAACGACTTTAGCCTTGTTCAGGACAATGTTTTCTTAATTGTTTAGAGAGTTTATTGTAATGCAAAAGTTTTTATTTAAATTTACGTGCAAGGTAAAAAAAGGATAATTTAATTTAAAAAAGTTTTTTTTATAAAAAAAACCTCTACAACTCTTTAGAAAGCACCTTATTATTCCACCCTTTTATTTTATCACATCATTTTAAAGATACTTAAATTTAAAAAAACATTTTTTAAGATAAGCGTATGACAACATTTTACTACGATTAAGCCTTTATTAATACCTACGTACACAACAAAATTATTTTGTTTTGGAATATTATTTATTTAAAATAAATAAATGCCGTTGCTTTAAAGATTTTAGTTTTTTTCTTGTAAATATATAAAAAGGATAGTTTGTTTGTTTAAACTTTATTTACGTTTACTTAAAAATAAGAATATTTAATTTTTTAATAATAAAAAAACATGCAAAAAAGTATAGTTATTGGACATACAATTTTTAGATAAACATAACAACTTTACATCAAATAACATAAATTGTTAAATATTTTTTAAAGATAAAATGCTGTTTTATGTAATTTTTTTATTTCGTTTTTGTAAACATCATATAATTCATTTATTTCTTTCTCAGAATCACTGTTATTCTGCAAGATGTCCTGGGACGAAGAAATCACTATATTACTTACTCTTCAAAAATGTCATAGCGATATCAACAGCAATTTGTATCCAGGACATTTAGCAGTCAATTCCTATGAAATATTATTCGCTAAATCCGAAAATTTCGTCAAAAGTTATTACTTATTGTTGATTTTTTTTTCAAAATTGGTGTACTTTTTGTAATACTTTTAAATTTTAAAAAAGTTTGTCTTGTCTATTTTTCTTAGAAGTTTTGATTATAAAAAAATTACTAAGTGGATCATGCGACATATCATTTAAAAGGTCTTTTGAAGCTGAATAAATAAAATTAGATTTATTTTTTTGATTCTACAGGGTGGAACAAAAAAATATTTAATTTTTTTTAATAAAATATATTAATTTGGAATATAAAAATTGCTTTCATTAATTTTTGATTACTGGCAGTGACAGAGCTTAAACCTTTGTCAAAGTCAAAACCCAACCATTCATTTGTTAGATTAGCTAGTGAGCTACCTGCCCGTAGTATTAAAATTAAACGGATTACGTACATATAGGGGAAAATTCCGAATATGTTAGAAAATCGATGAGACATTCAAATGGCACGAAAAAATATTTATAAGACTCATAAATTGTGTTTCTTATACGTGCGTCCTTATCAAAAATTCACGTATATATACATAGCTAGACGGGTTTATCTTGAATTTATACCGAGGAAAATATTTGGAAATACTAAAATGTAAACATGATTTTTAGAAGTTAGTAATATCTATGACAAAATAACAATTTCAATTAATCAACCTAAAATCTAAAAAGTTTTTGACACTTGACGTTTCAAAGCAAAATAATACTTTATTTATCTCAGTGTAGTCGAGCTAAAAAACGAACTAAACATTTTAAACGATTTTATGCAACGCCGAAATTAGCACCTGACAGTTAACAAAATTAATAAAGGCGACGGTGGGATTAAAAGTTTTGTCGTAATATTAATAACAACAGAGAGACTAGATGGGGGTGGGGGTTCTTGGGGAAAACATAATGTACGATCTTGGCCCTTATTGTTCATTATGCTTTCAGCTCGGCATACAAAACAGTTCCATTCATTGTAAATCATACCGAATTTACATAAGTTAGTCAGCAAAAATTAATTTTTGCAAAAATGGCGGATGCCCCGGGATATTCGATTTAATTATACAGTTATATGTTTATTCTATATCGATATTTTTATATAAAATAAGCGTTACATTATATTTTTAGCAACGTAAATTTATTGTACACGATTTTCGTTGTCTTATCCAGTAAATCAAGGGATGCCGTGTCTAAAATCGCCTAGGTTACGGCGCCCCGTAAGTGACGTCACACGGAAACGTCGTATAGCATCGAGGAATCGTTATAATTTAATAGTTCCCGGTTTCCGATTGCCAAATTTACCGGAAAGAAATTCTTTTCTGCCATTTCCGGAGCAGGTACCTTAAATATAAAGCTGCCCAACTTCTGCATTCAAAATCTATATGCACTGTTTTCTTCATTTTATTGAATTTTATAAAATTTAATATTGAACATTGAAGAATTTGTTGTAATAAGCATAGGTTTAAAAAATTCTGTCTCCTTCTTTGTTTTTTATTGCTTTCGTATTCCGTTTCTCGTATGAGGGACCAAACGTAATCACCCATCATGGCTGCATCCCAGAAGCCGTGATACCGCCGCTCCATGGCCTTCATTTGCTGGTGAAAACGTTCTCCGTGCTCATCACTTACGTCGCCCAGATTGTGCGGGTTATTTACGCACTCGAGCTCTCTACTTCTTTTACTCATTTTACACTTTTTGTTAACTAAATAAGACCACGATAAAAATACCTTGTTGAAATATCAAAAAATATCAGTAAAATGTCACTATGCCAACACGAGAAACAAAAGAATTCACGTTTGCGGAGTCGTGTCAAATTTAAATTTTGAATAATGTTTTCGGTGAAAAAAGTACGTAAAAAACTCAAAAAATTCCAATCATGCACTATTACAAAATAAAAGAAAAAAATAAAAGAAAACTTGTCAAAAAGCTGAATTTTGGTCTTGCACTAAAAAATTTACAACTTCGCCATTTTTCCATGTATTTTTATCAACATTACCTTGTTTTTTTTGTAAAAATGCCAGATTCACGAAAAAAAAATCCCATGACGATATGTAAATTTTCAACCTCAATTTTTGCCATAAAAACGATTTTTTTAAGTTATTAAAATCGCTAGCGTCAAAACACTTATCCGATATCAAAATTATGTAAAAGAAAGTTTTAGAGGGCTCAAATAGCTTCAATTTAAGGGCTTGTTTGACCAAATCGATCAATTAGATTTCAAGCTACACTCAAAAAACGTCAAAACATTTCCGAAAATTGAAAAAAAAAACAATTGAAAATTCATATTTTAAAAACACTTCCATAAAAAAAATTAACCTGGGAAAATTATAATGTTCGATTTTGTAAACTAGTGAATTCGGTTAAAATTAATAAATATTTTTTACTGTGTATCTGCATATATTAGGGTGGTTAAAAAAATATAAGTTTCGAATATTTTGTTATAACACATACCACAAGTTTATTTTTAATCTGACATTTTTGGAATTGGATAACATAAGGGATGCTTTTGACAGTAGCAGTTACAGTTCTATATATGTTATTTTAAGATTTTAAATACCACTTCATATAGAACTGTCACTGCTACTGTCATAACATATATATTCTGTGAAATGAACGAAGTCCACTACAACGAAAAAAATATTTAAAAAAGGTATAGGATGCAAAATTAAAGGCATAAGTGCATATGAGAAAAAAAATGCATTAATTTTTTATAAGCAGACTGTCAATCTTTCTAAAACTTTGTAAATGACATTTACTAAATGTCTCTGCCACAACCCAATATTTTTTGTTATAAATTATAAAATTTGTTAAAAATGTTTTAATTTTTCCTCACTAACTGTCTCAAAATATCTGTCAAACATTTTAACAACAGCAGCCTTATTTTAATGGTTTCCATAACAACCATTATAAATTGGATGTGGAATATTTAGAATTTTAAAATTTAATTATTAACTAACTATTAACTAAATTATGATAATAATAATACGATTATAATTTTTATTTTGTGGGGCAGTGTATCTAATGTGATGCTGAGGAGTTGTAGAAATGGGATGGGAATAAAAAGGAATTTGCGGCTAATGGTAAATAGAAAAAAGCTCACTCTCGATTCCAGAACGTAGCGGCAGCCAACCAATTATTTTTATTTTTCTGTGTCCGACAGCTCCTTATTTTGCTCCTTTTTTTCACCCAGCTCTGATTTGTTGGTGCGTTTGCCGAAAAATGATTTTCCATTAAAATATCCTTATAAATAAAGTACACAGTAAAATATGCTTTAGAAAATTTATCGAAGTTTTATAACATTCGACGAATATAGCACTTACACAAGGGGAGGTTATTTTAATTACAATTAGGTGTACTTTTTGGGATATCCTATATGTAATAATTATTATTTTTGGTTAATAAAGATAGTAAAAAAATCATAAAAAAGTATTTTATTAATTGCCAAGATTTTTTACTTTAATGACAGTATTTAAGGATAATTTAACGACATATTTACTTAAATTAAGTAATAAATCCACAAGTAGCTAATTTTAGAAATATTTATAACTTTATAATAACATATTTGTGTACATAATTTTTTTTTAAATATTTATACAAATTACTCTAAATTAATTTGTAATAAATACATCATTATCAAAAACAAATGAATACATAATGACTGTATTTTTTCGTGACCGAATGATTTATAATTATAACTACCTAATAAAAAATCTAATGCTAGAAAAATTCTCCATAGATATCTTAATTCAATTTTAAATTTTCTGACCTTAGCATAAAAATTTCACCTTGTTTTGCACATTACCTGAGTCAAGCGCCAATTTTAGCCATAAAAATATTTGTACAATTATAATTACAATAAAATGGACGTTGATTAACCTCATCAATTACAAGTTTTAATGATAGTCCACAATTATTCACAAGTTTGGTGTTTGCTTTGTATCTAGACCAAAATGTCGAAATTATTTGTGATCTTGGTATTTTTTGATTTTGTGATTTTTGGAAATTTCGAAATAATTAGCGCAGTGAATAAAAAGGTAAAGTTATTTATATAAAATTTATTAGTCAAAAATGACTAATTTAATAGTTATTAGTGGCTGCTTTTTCACTTGTACCATGGTTAACCATGGAATACCAATTCTTATATAAAATTGTCCCCTGAACCCGAAAATAGCGTCAAAATTTTAAAAAGTAGAACAGTTTTTGAGATACAGTCAATTTTCCATTTAATATGGAATTGACTATATCTTAAAAACTGCTCCACTTTCATAATTTTTGACGGTATTTTCGGATTCAGGGGAAAAATTTACATAAGAATTGGATGTTTAATTTTGGGATACCATGGTATTCCATGGTTAACCATGGTACAAGTGAAAAAGCAGCCACTAATAACTATTAAATTATTTATTTTTGACTCATTATTTTATTTTTAAAGAGTAAACACTTTAAATACAATATGTCCCCGGATTGAGTTAACAGGATTTTTTTTTGTTTTTCTATAAAATACATTGACATCAAAAATTCGGGATTGTATCTACTAGGTGTTGAAAAAATTTAAAAAAGCACCTTTATTTTAAAGAAATTTAGTAAAATTTAGAATTTTTAGTACAGGGTGTTTAAAAGTCTATTTAAGACATTTTAAACACCCTGTAGTTAAAATCCCAAATTTTACCAAGGGGATGTTATTTTTTAACAATCAAAACGTTATAAAAAATAAAATGTCCCTGTGATGTATTTAAAATAAATTTAAATTATACTTTTATGTAAGCTGAAATATCTGGTTAATAAAATTATTATTAAAATTATTATTATTATTATTATCAAGAATTTAATTAATTATTTAATAAAAAACACAAAGAAAAATCATAACTTTTGTCGTAATTTTTGTATTAAAACTTTGTTTTTAATTACAAACAACTTTTTAATATTAAATTAAAAAAAAATAAAGGTAGAAAGAATTCTTGAATCGATTTCATGTTTTCCTAATTTTTAAACACCCTGTAGACAAAATCACTTTTTTTTAAATTTCAATGAAGATCCAGAATGACTCTTCTTCGAAAAAAAAAATAATATTTGATTTCTCTTCTAAACTCAATCCTGTATTTTACAAAAATATTTTTTTTATTTTATTAATTTTTACAATAAACTAGGGTTACAACCATTTGTCAAATTCTCGAGACTGTGCAGACATTTTTAAAAACCTTAATATTTATTTCTTTTTTGAAAAATCCTGTTTCTATCCATGGTCAATAGTAAGGTGAATCATTTTTTTATCTGTTTAAATTCAACCATAAGATCATTGCCACTAGCTTACAAATAAGCATACGCATCACACGGCGCTTTTTGTTCTTTACGTGCATGTACATTTTTTTTATTCGTGAAAATGCTTCGCTATGTGATGATATTTTTACTTAGTGTTTTTTGTGTTGAATCTTCGATAGATATCAAAGAAAATGTACTGGATGTAAGTAGTCTTTAGTTAAAGTTTAAAAAATTATATTTTAGCGCCCACCGTTCTTTGTTTTAAATAGAGATATACAAATTTTTTTTTATTTTTATTTGAACAATATACTAATTTTATATTATTATTATATCATAAAAACAGGCCAAGTTATTCAACTAAGGCTAGGATTTTTTAATTGCCATCTATTATAATATTTAACAAGTTTTTTCTTACTTTTGACATTGTAGCTTCCTTTTTTTGCATTCAATTATAACAGAGGAGTGCTAAAAATGTATGATACCAACTTCCATAAAAAAATACAAATTTTACATTTTAAAGTATTTGACGGTAATAATCCACTCTATTAAATTTTACTTTTTAAAATGATCCCACATAAAAAAGTCTAGGGTAGTCAATTCTGGAGATATGGCGGGCCAATCCAGAGCTCTTCTTCGTTCAATCTAATATCCAGGAAACTGTATAGTACAATAACGTTAGATTTCTTGGTCCATTTACGAAATAATACTTTTATCTATTTTGCGTTCATAATGACTTCATTATAACACCGCTTATACTTTAAACAGCATAATATTTTGCATTGATTTTAATATTTTTTTGATTTTTCTAGTATTTACGAGACTTTTCTGGCAATAAATTTTTTTTAAAACCAAATAAAAACCTTTTTTTTGTTCTTTAACATTAACAGCCGCTTATTGTAAATAAGTAAATTAAGAACGGCATGGCGAATCGATTTGACATTAACTGTCAAACTAATGACTGTGATACCAACTATCTAAAGTAAAATTCGACCAAACTAAATGTAAGGTATAAAATTAATTTTTATGGGGTTTTTGCGAAATAGATAAAGAACTCATAAGACCTTTTGTCGCACTCGTCCATTACAAAATGACGTCTTATGACATATATTATTGTAAAATTTTACATAAAACGAATTTAGCAAATAAACTAAGGAATATAATTTTATTGGTAAATTTAACCAGGAAAAAATGCTTAGGTTAAAGACTACAATAACTCGAGGTTTTTTATATAATAAAAAAACAACCCAGAAAAAACTTGTTATAATTAATTTGTTGACAACACCTATAAGTGCAATAATTAGTCTAATTATTTGTATATATGCTATAGCAGACACAATAAATTATAAAAACATTTAATTCAATTACATAATATAATATTTTTTATTAAGTACTTTAAATATAGCAATTCGAATAAAACTTATATATTCCAAGGTCACGAAAAAATGTACCTATTAGGAATTTTAAAGAATCAGGAAATATTTATTTATGTATCATGTTAAGTACTTATATGCAAAACGTACTTTTAGAATCTTCTGCAAGTTAAGACTGAGAATGGGGTACTTCAAGGCAAAATGAACTATGGAAAGAATAACGAAAGTACATTTTATTCTTACCAGGGAATACCTTTTGGCAAACCACCCATAGAGGACCTAAGATTTAGGGTAAGACATCGTATAAGAATACGGTTATATGGTTTTCATAACATTCTCATATTTCAGGCCCCCAAACCCTATGGAAATTGGTCCGGCATACTGGATGCCACCAAGGAACAATCAGGTTGCGTTGAAGTGCTCATTAGAAACTATACCAAAGTCCAGGGGATGGAAGATTGCTTATTTCTTAATATATTTACACCTGAAGTAAGGTTAGTTTAAAAACTATGGGGGTATTACATACAAATAATTTGTAGAACCCAAATAAAGTCAAAAAATTGCTGCCGGTGTTTTTCTGGATATACGGTGGGGCTTACTTGGAGGGTAACACCCATTTCGATCGCTGGGGACCGGATATTTTGCTGAAGGAAGATATTATAGTGGTGACATCGAACTATAGGATAGGTGTATTTGGGTTTCTCAGCACAAACAACATGGATTCGCCTGGTAACTATGGTTTGAAGGACCAAAACCTAGCGCTACAATGGGTTAACAATAATATAAAGTACTTTGGGGGTGATCCTAACAACATAACACTAGCAGGACAGAGTGCAGGCTCTGCTTCCGTGTTATACCACGTACAATCAAAGCTGAGTAGAGGTTTATTCCATAAGGCTATAGCACAGAGTGGTAGTTCTTTATGTGCATGGTCATTGCAGATAGATCCTTTGGAGATTACTTATCAGATAGCGTATGCTTTAGGAATGAACACTAAGAATACAACAGAAATAGTGGCGAGATTGAGGAAAGCTACAGTTGGTGAAATTACTGGTGCGCAACAAATGACAACTATATTGGTAAGTGTCCAAAAGTGTTTTTTAAAGTGGTTGAGTTTATGTTTCAGAATTTCATAGAGTTCAGAAAAATTGGTCTAGCATACAGCCCAACTTTGGAACCAAATCATCCAAATGCCTTTTTAACTAAATATAGTTATGAAGCTTTGAGATCTGGTGATTTTAATCGAGTTCCTGTTTTATTGGGCACTACATCACAGGAGAGTCTTCTTTTTAAACAATGTATGTAAGTATTTTACTATAAAAAACTTGTTTAACCTTTTCTTTTATAGTTATGAGTTTACTGCGACCAGCCGTGAGTTTATTATACGATTCAAGTCCTGGTATGATGGCAATGCCTAATCTTAACACCGACTCCTTGGCCAAAAATAGACAATTTGGTCTTGAAGTTATGAGGAGGTACTTCAAGCAAGGGCAATTATCACAGAGTACTTTCGACCAATACGCAAACGTAATATTTACAAAAACATCAAAACCACAATCTAACCTACTTTTCCAGTTTGTAACGGACGATGCATTTCTTAGACCCATCCGCAAAACCATGCAACTATTATCAAAATTTGTTCCTGTATATTTCTATGTTTTCACATACGAAGGGAAGTACATTGCTGAAGGGTTGGAAGGTTTTAAAACCAGAGGTGCATTAGATAAAGGTGTTTCTCATTCAGAAGATTTGTGGTATATGTGGTCCCACAAAAACCTACCAGAGAAGAAGGGTGATGATTTAGTGATGAGCAAACGTTTGACAAGAATGTGGGGAAATTTTGTCAAATACAGGTAAACAAGTTTATTTACACTACTTAGGGCCGGTTTATCAATCTTTGGTTAAGTTCCAGTTAGTCTATCTGACAGTTAAATTCCATATCGATCTTTGTGAGAACAATGGTATCCATGGAGATTATCTGCCAGATAACTAACTGCAACTTTAACTGGACATTGATAAACCGGCCCTTAGACTGTATTAAACGTTTTTTTGTAGTAATCCTACCCCATTTGAAGAACCTTTGTTAAATAATACAATATGGCCGCTGGCGCAGCCAAATAACCTTGTACAACTAAACATAAACTTAGATTTAACCATTGAGACTGACTATAGAAATGATTACGTACGATTCTGGGAGTATGTGTACAGGAAATATGGAAAAAGGCCGTTTAAAACCTACTAGGATTAAAATTATTGTAGCATAAGTGAATAAAACCAAAGAAACTAAACGTATTTATTAACTCAATAACTCAATATTTCCTGGAATCGTATTTTGGAGTGTACTCTGGAGGTCTGTAGAAGTTATCCGACAAACTACCAACAAAAGGTTGCGTTAGGGGGTACGGCTGATACCTGCCGTCACTTTGAAACTGCTGGCTGGGCGGGACGTTTTGGGGCCTCCACGGCGTTTCAAGGAAGTTATTGGTCGACCACGGGGTCGTCGAAGGTCCTCTGGGGCCCGGATTTCACATCGCGGTGGCGTCTCTGGTTGTCCTGAAAGTTGTATTGAGGTGGTGGTGAACGTTTACCTTTTTTGTCGTCGTAGTAGTGTCGTGACGGGTCGGCGGTTCGTTTACGGTTGTCGGTGAGTTTTGGAGGAGGCGGTGGGGATCTCTCGGACCATTTTTTCTTTTTCGGCGATGCGCTTCTCGATTTGTGCGCGTGCCTCGTTTCGGCCTCCTTGATTTTCATCTTTAATACTCTCGCGCAACTTTCTCACGTCGTCCAGTTCTTTGTTGATCATGACGCGATCTTCGACGCACTTTTTGAGTTCCATGGAAGTTTTGCGTTCCAGATCCTCCTTGTCCTTGTTGTGGCGCCTTCTTTCGTCGCGCAGCTGATTCTGAAGGTCCTTCAGACTGATTTCGAGTCGGTGAATTTTGCCTTGCGCGCCCACATAGCGCCTATCGTTGTCCAATAATCTTCTTCGCAGACGATCGACTTCGTTCTTGGTGCGCTGATACTCGTACCTCCAATCCACGTCGATTTTTTTGGTTTCTTTTTTCGTAGGGTCTTTTTTAACTTTGGACTTGTCCGATTTTTTATCTTCATCATTTGAAGGTGCATTGACGGTTTTAGATGTATCAGGGCGATCCATTGATACTACGATCTTCTTTCCTTCGAAAAGGGTTTCATGTAAGGCTTCCATACACTTCAAGGCGACCTCATGGTTCTCCATTGCGACATATCCAAAGAACGACTTCCCATTGGTGACGATTTTGGCCGTGTAACTTTACCATGGCGGACTTACCAGCTTTTTTAAAGACGTCGCCTTAGTATGACGACTGATATTCGACACCCAAACGTAGTTGATATGGGTTTTCGCTTTTGCCGCCTTAACATCCTGATTTTCTTCACTTTGCGGTGGATTTTCTACAGCAACTTTGGCCTTGTCTTCAGGTATTATATCCAAATCTTCTTCATGGGTTATTATTAAAAGAGTCTTCTTTGGTTTCAGACGACGTAGCCTCTTTTTTTTCTGTTGTATCTTCAGATATAACCGTCAATGCTTTATCTCTCGACTACTGCATTTTCTTCCTGCGCAGTCTCTTCAGTTTTCTCAATACTATTCCACGACGGAATAATTGTTTTCTTCAAAACAATGATTTTTCAGGATTTTCCGGAATTTCACCGCTCATTTTTACTATATATTTTCGCCTATTAGAAGACATACTTTAGATTTATCGAACAAATAAATATATTGGATATTGGAACTCTAAATCGAATTTCTTCCCTATTTTATTCATATTCGAGGCGCAGTAGTTTTACTGATAAACAAAGGTTTTTACTTATGTATATATCGGTGAGAACTTTTTCGAGTTGCTAATAAAAAAGAATGTAAATTACTGCTTGATTTAATTCAAGGGATGTAACGTCCAGCAGGCTCTTATTTGCATAGTGGGGGGGTTTCAGGGGAGGTTCGTACACCCCTTTAAAGATCGATTTGTTACGGGCATTCCAAACATGTTCTTTAAATAATTGTTGTTGATTTTAATGCCTGACCTTGGTGGTATTTGTTGTTAATTTTATTGATATTTATTGTCTATTTATTCGTGAGTTATGGTTTATTTTTCAATGCGTGAACTTCAATACCTGAGTATACAGATACAATGTCTGATAAACAATTATTGGAAACTTGTTTTTGTAATTCATAAAATAAATAAAAAACGCAATTTTATTATGTATGGTTCTATGTGCGTATTCGATCCCAATTTTGTTTTTGTTGCGTTAATGGTTTTTTATGGATCTTTATTTAATAAAGAAACAAGTTTTTTATTGTTACAATTGCGATATAATAAAATTTTTAAGTAAAAATGTGAAAATCAAATAAATTCGCATTAATAAATAAAAACTGTTAAAATGGTTAAATAACTCAAAAATTACAAACAATTTTCGAAAATTAATAAAAAAAACATAAAAAAAACACCAAGATGTATTATACGTCATTTTAATCGTATAATACTTTTTTTCTGGCAAGCAGTTTTTAAAGTATTCAATTGTCAAAAAACTCAGCAATACTGTATGAAAAAATTAAATAATCCACATCAAATAGCGGTTAAGAAAATAACTTCAATAAACTGAGGAGTGACTTTTCAAAAGGTCGTATTTTCCATTGCAACAATTTTTCAAAAAAATGACTATAACCTGGTTAGGGCAATAAAGATTATTAAAAAAAAATTCTGATGAATATTTAATAATACTTTAGACCTGCTGTCATATTTCGCCGTTAATATATGCCTTTTAAAACCTTTGGGATTTTGTCAAAAAAATTACATTCAAGTAAAAATGGAAATAAGGCCTTTTGAAAAAGCACTCCTCAACTAAAAAAACGATTTAAAACTAAAAACATGTCATTTTTGACAAGTAATTAATGTTATTTGTTGTATTCTTTCAAACATGGTAGGATATCCTAAAAGATATCTTAAAAAATTAAACAATGAAATTATTAAGTATTAAAATATTAATTTAGTACCAATATTTTAATAATTATAATTAAATTGGTGAGATTAAGAACAGTACAAGTCAAAAAACTTAAAATTTTGACAAAATATTTCAAAAAATCAGTGCATTTTTCTTGAAGATATTTCAACTATTTATAAAATATAATATTTATATTCTATAAAATGATTTATATCTTCTTGCAAAACTTTAAAATTGATTCTTGTTCTCACCAATTCAATTATAGATATAATCTATCATTTTAAATATAAAAAACATTAACACTATTAACATAAATATAAAAAATCATGGTCAAGGTCATCAAATTTACAATCCAAAAACATGTCTAATTTAAATTTAAAAAATACTATACTAAATCAAGAACTAATTTGACATCTAGACTTATATTTATAATCTGGCAACCCTAATTTTAATTTATCAAATCCAATATAATTTAAATGTTTTTAATGCAATAGGCATATTGCGTTTGACATATTCCAACCCCAAAATCCTTAAAATAAACAACACGGTTTTTTTACGCAAATTTCCTTTAGAATGTATAATCGGCCTTGAAGCGACCGTAAAACTCAGTTGGCCGGTGAAATTTTACTTAAAAGCACAGCCGCCCCTTCAAAACGCAAACCGCTCGAATTTTACGCACTTTATCAATAAATTTACCCATTTAAACAAGCCGGGAAACAAGATATCTCCACATTAACATGTACCGCTCTAAATTTATCCCTTTTAAACCAAAAAAACCGACGGACATTAATATTCATTCGCAAGCGAAACTCCGAAACTTTTTAATTGATATTTGTTTCTATTTTCCACCAGTTTACCCAATTAGGACCGTAACGTTCCGGGAAAATTATTATTTGAGGTTATGTTCGTCGATACAATAGAGTTTTACGTTTTGTTTCGCCGAATGCGACGCTTTAAATTAACACAACATGGATTTTTATCGATAAAAAAAGAGTTATACTCACTTTTTATGCGGTTTTATTGCGTTTTTTTCACGTATTTTGCACTTATAATCTCTGTAAACAACACTGAAAAATGACGTTTCCAAAATGAATGGCGATTTGTTTACAGCGTTGCCTATATTTCTTGGAATAAAAACATCAATTTGTTACAAGATATCCATTTTAAATAATAATAATCACGAACATCTATAATTATAATCATTTAAAATTAATATAAATCAATCAAAATCAATTAAAATCGTTTTATTATACAAGTTTTCGAGTCGCCCTCTATAAAAGATTTGTTTATCTAACGTTGGCACCATAGAAAAAGAATTTGATTTTGACAGTTATTTTTATAAGCCCACTAAAAAGTAACAACATTTTTACGTTTTAAAGGACATAAAAACGTTAATAAATTGCGGTGCTTGATGCGTTTACCGGAACATTAAAGTTTTAAGCGCATAAAGCTTATTATTAGTGTAGTAGTGTTTTTAATGTCCTCGGATTTAAATCAATAAAAATAGCAGTTTTAAAATGTAAGTACAATAAAAGTGCATGCCAAATTTAGTGGAATTTTATTAGGGCAATGATATTTTCCGCGATTTTATTGCTTTTTATGGCGTTTCCTGACACGGAAAAGATTTTATTTTAATTGCAATGAAAACCCCCAAGGTGTCGTTTTATAAATTTATTAGAGTTTGCGACTGTAATATCATTATTTTTCGTTTGATATCCAAGTTTTATATGATCTGTGAATAGAATCTTTTGTATTGAATGTTTATTTGTATATTGTAATTTTTTGTTTATTTTGACAGTGTTGACAACAAAATAAACGCCAAAATACCTACCTGTTTTATGATCAAAAATTAAATATTTTACTATTTTTATCTACAATTAGAATCACAAATCAGTTTGGTTTATTAAATTCAAGGCCGATAATGTCAAATTGAATAAATTTGGCTCTATATT